ATATAGCAATGCCCCGGCAACGTCCCACAACACTATCAACCACATAGCAACGCCCTAATGACTACTCGCAACACCCTAGCAACAACATACTGTAGCAACATGCTAAGAACCGGCTAACAACCACTAAGGTTATAACTCTTCGTGTTACTGTAATTGCAGGTTTAAAGGTTTGCTGCAACAAAAACTAAAACTAGATGTTATTTATGCAAAATTCTGTATTAGTTTCAAAGTAACAAAAAAAGTAATTTCAGTTTTTATCTAATGATGTTATTTTTTCTCTTTATTACAGTTTCTTCAGAACATGTAAAAATCTAGTTATTTTACTTCATCTTTTGAATGTTTTATGCACAAATAAACAAAGAGTTTGAATTCATCAATAATTTATGACCACAAATGTTGGTGGGTTTAAATTTGAATTTGTTCTGTTTTGTGTATTTTGTTGCAAACGCTCCATTTAAACTTTAAATCCTGGATTCTGGTTTGACGCCCCATTTATGTCTATATGCATACTGAAAAGCGATTGGTTTTTCTTTTATTGCATCTATTTAACATCTACAGCTACCAGAAAAGCAGCAGAACCGAAGCCTAAGACATGATTCTTTTGTTGCAAGCGCTGCACTTTCCTTCAGGAAATGCAGATCTAATTTTAATGAGGTAAAACCTGTGCTAAAATCACTTTTATGATGAATCACAGAGACCTGAGCGACTTATCTTCAAATGTCTCTCTACAAGTCCTGCGTGTGGCGTCCTGGAGCACTGCTCTCTGGTTCTCTATTACAGCTGTGTTAGTGTATCCCGTGACCCCGCTGACCTCTGGCTCTGCCTGTAATGAACAGTAATGGCCTGCAGACTCGAGCAGCAGCAGCGAAGGAACAGATCCTCTCACTGCGAGAGCCGCTAAATGAGAATGAGAGAGAGTAATGCGTAATAGATGGAAACCAACTGATAGCGCAAATGAAGGAGAGGCGGGAGGCATGAACGGAAATGAAAAAGCCAACAATATACAGGAAGTGGGGAAAAAACACCAGGATGAGGAAAAAAGGCTGAATAAATGCAATACGGGAAAATATGGGAGAAACATGAGGACATGCATGTGCTATAGAGTCTGTCATATTTGTTTGCTAGTCTTTTACAGGTTGCCAGGATGCTGCTATGCATTTTAGTCTGTCTTTAGTCTGTTTTTATGCTGTCATATGTGGTTGCTAAGTGTTCTACTGGTTGCCAGGGTGTTGCTATGTATTTTAGTCTGGTTTTTAGTCTGTTATATGTGTTTGCAAGTCTTTTAAAGGTTGCCAGGGTGTTGCTATGTGTTTTAGTCTGTCTTTAGTCTGTTTTTAGACTGTCATATATGGTTGCTAGTGTTTTATTTGTTGCCAAGGTGTTGCTATGTGTTATAGTCTGTTTTTAGTCTGTCATATATGGTTGCTAGTGTTTTGCTGGTTGCCAGGGTGTTGCTATGTGTTTTAGTCTGTGTTTAGTCTGTCATATATGGTTGCTAGTGTTTTGCTGGTTGCCAGGGTGTTGCTATGCGTTTTAGTATGTTTTATTCTGTCATTTATTGCTGGTTTCCAGGACATTGCTATGTAGTTGCCAAGGTGTTGCTATGTGGTTTATAAGATATTTTGAATGTTTTTTAGTATGTCATAGGTTGCTAGTGTTCTGCTGGTTTCCAGGGTGTTGCTATGCAGTTATATATGATATAACCCCATTTAATTGAAAAATAGTAATTTTAAGTTAAGTTAATATTTATAATATATATATATATAATTATTATATTAATATATGTTTATATTAAACATATAAACTAACAAAAATTAGCCATGCTATAACTTTGTGTCCAGCTTGATTTATTAGTTTTAATATTCTCTAAAGTATTCTAGTTCTCTCTGGCCCACTTTTTGGAAAAGTGTTTAATTATGCTTATTTTGCATGACCGCAAAATAGGGCCAGAATAAGCTTCAAATCAAAACTACCTGCACTACATTTAAAGTGGTCCTATTATGCTTTTTTACTTTTTCAACTTTAGTTAGTCTGTAATGTTGCTGTTTGAGCATAAAAAAGATCTACAAAGTTACAAAGCTCAAAGTCCACTTCAAAAGGAGATATTTTATTTAACAGAAATCACTTTTCAAAAACTACAACAAACAACTAGTTTGGACTACAACACATATTTTCCAGGATTTGTGATATCACAAATATCGACGAATGGGACGAGACCTGGTTGAGCTGCACTAGAGAAGGCAACGAGTGTTATCACTATGTCGGAGACACGCTAGCTTTCCCAAAGCACGAGAGCCTGTTCCAGTACACCCCCAAAACAAAATTAAGACTTTGTAAAAGAGCATAATAGGACCCCTTTAACTCTTTGGATAATTAAGGAACCAAAAATGGTTCATCAATGGCATCACTGTGAAAACTCCTTTTTGGAATGTTTATTTTTAAGAGTGAATGGTGCTTAAACAACTTTGAATTATAAGTTGCTTGGCGAGCTAGAGTTGCAAAAGAGCTTTCCCAACCACTGGCTTCAACACACACACACACACACAGCGGCCCTGAGATCCACACTGCAGAGACAGACAGTCGATATCTTGCCACTGTGCTTCAATATTCCAGCATCGCCTCTCCGAACGCCCGCTGAGCAAACACCCGCTACAAGCAGCGTCACGCAGCACAAACCATCCAAATGACAGAGAGCAATCAAGACAACGTGAACCCATACACATGCAATGAACCATTTTTTTCTAAATGACAGACGTATTCGATTTGGGCAGAATTAAAATTACAAAGTATGCCTGTGAAACAACACGCCCTCCCTCGAGGAAAACTAGTCCTGTCCGAACAGAGCCAGAAGCGAAAGAACAAAACAAGAGAAACATTCATTAAACAGTCTGATCTTTTAATCACACGATCTACAACCGGCACGGGATGGAGGCGTTCTGATCATTAATCAAGTCAATGAATTAGCTTTGATCGCATCATGCCGGAGCCGTTCATGGCCACTGTTGCTGTGTCGCTGAGTGATGGTGAGCAGACACCTGCTACAAAACCGCCTGACAGTCACATTCATCCAGCAGCTTCATCACAGACCCTGACAGGCCTTTGATGCCTTCCACATGCAATATTTATTGGATCACATGTCAAAAAGGAAAGTGAACTCTCGGCATCAATTAAATGCCACTATTTAGACCTGTAATGACATCCTGACAGATTCCTTCATTTACGGCGACCCAACAGATGTTTGGTGAATTGTGCAGACACTATTTTATCAGTTTCCCCCTCAGGTACACTTATTCCAAAAGCATAATTAAAACAATCATAATTTAGTTTTTAACGATTAATTTCCACCATCTGTCCAACCTTTACATATAAGTGGTCCATTTTTTGCTGCTGCAGTTCAAATGCGAAGTCTCTTCTGCTCACCGACGCTGCATTTATTTGATCAATAATACAGTAAAAACTGAAAAATAGTGAAATACTATTTCAATTTCAAATAGCTATTTTCTATGTGAATATATTATGTAAAGTGTAACTTATTCCTGTGAGTCAGCATCATCACTCTAGTCTTCAGTGTCACGTGATCCTTCAGAAATTATTCTAATATATTTTTGTTATTTGAAATATAAATCATTAGTAACATAAATCAATTTTGATATACACTCTTAAAAATAAAGGTGCTTAAAAGGTTCTTCACAGCGATACCATAGAAGAAGCATTCAGTCAAAGGTTCTTTAAAGAACCATCTTGTTCTTACCTTTTTGTAATCTGAAGAACCTTCTTTCACCACAAAGAACCTTTTGTGAAAGGATCTTCAGATGTTAAAGGTTCTTTATGGAACCATTTAGACAAAAAGGTTCTTCTATGGCATCGTGAAGCACCTTTATTTCTAAGAGTGTATTTAATGTTGCCAAGGTGTTCTAAGCAAAATTCAATAAAATTACTCTCAAAGTAACTAAATGAATCTCATTCAGTAAATGACTGTCATCTGTGCATGACTAATATATGCTGTTTTTATCATCAGCCACCTGTAATCATAAGTATAAGCCTTAATAATACCACTAGTCAGCATAACTAATAATTTATTTATTTTTTTGCTCCCATGTTAATAACACCTGTGAAAACAGAAGAAAGCCACATTCTGTATGAGAAATATTTGTGTGTGTGTGGATCTATACTGAATTATTCATTTCCTGTTTTCCACTCTATTTTCTAGTTTGCTTCACAATAATGAAAAAGAAAGGTCCCTAACGTACAGCTTCAGAACAGGTCCTGAATATGAAGGGAGCCAAAGAAAAAAGACAAGCATTAAAGGGAATATGAGCATATGAAACACGAAGGTACAGTAACATCCCAGTGACTTTCAGTATATCAGCGTGATTTCCACAAGTGGGCTAAATGCAGATGCAATCTTCCCGCGTGTTTATTCACTCATGGGATTGAACTGAAGGACACGGCGTTCAATTTCATACTCGGCTTCACAGGGACACGTAAAGATCAAGGATCTTGTAAGAGGCGGGAAACCTGTACGCGGCAACAAACACACAAACTTATCGGATTAGCTGTTTCAGAAAGTAGGGCGTCTCTTTCCCAAGCTTGAAGGAATCTGTCGCAAAATGACTAATTCAAAGCATCGGACCATCTGATTTTTTATTCAACATCCTGTGCCAATTCATTCTGAATTTGATCCAACCTCATTGTCTTTATAGGCAGCGACTTTCAAAGACAGCATTCCAACAGAAACACTCTACATAGTCAGCACACACATAGTGTGCACTAGCTTTTACCACAGAGCCATGAAGGACTGCAAACACTGAATCTGTAATCTGAATTTCATCTCAGTATGAATAAAGCTGCCCAAAGCTGTCCATAGTCATTTTTGGACATTCGGTGGACCAAACACATTCAGTCCTGTGAGATGAGACAGAAATGCTTTTGGTTTCTAAGAAAATGACCTAATGCTAGCTGAAAACTCAGAGTTGATGTAAAATCATAACCCCACTCACCAAACATATTCCCCAAGTGTCCGTTCCTGGTCAGAGGTCGAAGTTCATTATTTCCCCAAGCGTAACGTTTATAGTTGTCCCAGGCAAATGTCATCATCTGCAAACACAAAACAAACAGGTTCAGATCTGTGAAATCACCTCTGATAACACGTTTAGTGTGCAGATACTCGCATTAAACATGATATTAGGATGCAATTACATCCAAAGCCATCAAGTGCAGATGTTCGCCGATCAAAAACCAAAGATGAATCAGAAAAATATGGGCTTTTCCGCATTAGACGAAGCGAAGCATGGATAAAGCACGGAAGAAATATGAGGATGTTATGAATGACACAACAAAGAATCGAATCATGTTTCATAAGCTCTATTTATTTCTGCTGGAAGCAACACGCTGTCATAATTAGCTGTGCGGTAAGGCGGGCAGGCCTGCAGGATCACATTCATCAAATAAATGCAGAAATTCGTGAACAGACAGACGACGTCAAAGAAATGGACTGTTACCTACATGCATTAATCAAGAAAATAAATTAATAAACACAAACATGGTTTTCTCGTCACCATTAATCATTGCACATTTAAATGAGTTGCTTTATTCTGTTGTCTTGTGTTAAACAGCATTCTTCTCAAAACTTGACTTTTTAAAGACAGGTTTGTGATAAGCTAAATAATTACATTGTTAATTAGAACCAGTTAAGAAATTTTAACTGCTTTAATAACTTATTGTTTGCATATTGCAATTTATTGTTATGTAAATAATTACAAAAAAAATAAATTTAAATATACATTTAAATATGCATACTTTTTACATTTTTTACAGCAAAGTGCATACAGCAAAAATATTTATAATGTTACAAACGTTTTCTATTTTAAATAAATGCTGTTCTTTTGAACGTTCTATTCATCAAAGAATCCTGGGGAAAAAAGGAAAATCCTTAAAAAAAATCTACACAAATATTTAGCAGCTACTGATTTCAACATTGATAATAATCAGAAATGTTTCTTGGGCAGCAAATCAGCATATTAGAATGATTTCTGAAGGATCATGTGACACTGAAGACTGGAGAATGATGCTGAAAATTCAGCTTTGATCAGAGGAATACATTTCATTTTACAATATATTCATATAGAAAACTGTTATATTAAATTGTAATAATATTTCACCTTTTTTTCCTGTTTTACTGTATCTTACTTTGATCAAATAAATGCAGCCTTGGTGAGCAGAAGATATTATATGTTTTTTTTTTTTAAATCTAATATAGTTTAACTTCACATTTTCTTTTTTCAAATATCTTGGAGCAAATATTGTAAAAAAAAAAAAAATGTTTTTATAAAATTGCATGTCTGCAGTTACTGCATTAACTACACAGCTCTCTTAAATACTTGATTCTGATTATAAAGACAAAAATTTTCACTCATGCACTGATTAAATGTTCATAATAACACTAGAAAAATAAAGTGTTCATTAGTTTTACATTTTGGCATCTAAGATCTCAACTTAAAGTAAGTTCTAAACCTATTATTTCCTGAATGGGCCAATTAAGGAACATCACAAAGAACCCGGGCTGTAATGCTGCTCCATCCAAAGCTCTGAGCTCGGCGGCGCTGGATTTGTGAATCTCCCGGGTTTGAGCTCTGAATGAGTGTTTCAGCACAGCCAGGACCAGAGAAGCTCTGGATGATGCCTGGCACCAACAACCTCCTCAAGGCACGCTCTGAAAAAGACCCGCTTCCCTTGAGGAGGAAGCCAATAATTGATCTGCTCAACAAGGCTGCACTTATTTGATCAAAAATGCAGTAAAAAATTTCAAATATTTTTACAATTTAAAATAACAGTATTCTATGTGAATATCTGTTCAACTGTATTGATTGCTGTGATCAAAGTCTTCAGTGTCACATGATCCTTCAGAAATCATTCTACAGTAATATGCTGATTTGCTTCTCAAGAAACATTTCTGATTATTATCAGTAATGAAAACAGCTGTGCTCCCCAATATTTTGTGGACACTGTGATACATTTTTGTCTTTCAGGATACTTTGATGAATAGAAAGTTTAAAAGAACAGCAGTTATTTGTAACATTAAAATGTTCCAAATGTGACCCTGGAGCACAAAACCAGTCATAAGGGTCAATTTTTTTAAATTGAGATTTATACATCATTTCTACATCAAGCTGAATAAATAAGCTTTCCACGTTATGATAGGACAGTATTTGGCTGAGATACAACTATTTGAAAATCTGGAATCTGAGGGTCCCAAAAACAAAAAATAATAATGAGAAAATCACTAAATCAATCAGTTGTCCATTTGAAGTCCCTAGCAATGCATATTACTAATAAAAAAATTAAGTTTTGATATATTTACAGTGGTAAATTTACAAAATATCTTCATGGAACATGATCTTCACTTAATATCCTAATGATTTGCAATGTTGCTATGTATTTTGTAATTTGTAATGTTGGCTATTGCTACAAATATATTGTTTATGACTGGTTTTGTTTTGAAAATCTGGAATCTGAGGGTCCCAAAAACAAAAAATAATAATGAGAAAATCACAAAATCAATCAGTTGTCCATTTGAAGTCCCTAGCAATGCATATTACTAATAAAAAATTAAGTTTTGATATATTTACAGTGGTAAATTTACAAAATATCTTCATGGAACATGATCTTCACTTAATATCCTAATGATTTGCAATGTTGCTATGTATTTTGTAATTTGTAATGTTGGCTATTGCTACAAATATATTGTTTATGACTGGTTTTGTGCTCCAGGGTCACAAATGTCTTTACTCTTACTTTTGACCACTTTAATGCGTCTTTGCTGAAAAAAACATTCATTGATTTAAAAAAAAAAAATACTGACCCCAAATTTTCAACAGTATATTAATCGCATCCAAAATAAAAGTTTTTGTTTACATAATATATGTGTGCCTACTGTGTATATTTATTATGTATAAATATATGAATACAAACACATGCATGTATTTAAGAAAAATATGTTATGTTTATATATTAAATATATTTATATATAATATAAAATATAAGAATATAACATATAAATATTTTCAAAATATATACTGTGTGTGTGTGTGTATTTATATATACATAATTATACACAGTACACATACAGTACATATATTATGTAAACAAAAACTTTTATTTTGGATGCCATTAATCGTTTGACAGCACTAATATAAACCTTTAAAGTTGCTGTGGGTAAAAGCATCTTCCATATTAATAAATGTGCAGGGAGTGATACTTTTTCATTACCAGTAAAGCTACATAATCAACCGGCTACATACAGCAGGATGAACATGAGAAATGAAGCTTGAGGGAGTAAATAACCAGATCCCACATTACTAGCGAAAACTAACCCATCAATCACGTCTGGTTACTCCACAAATCAGCTGAACAGCACAACAAGACCAGCGGTTCAAATGAACCAGATACTGATGAGGAAGAAACATGCTGACATTAAAGTCCAAGCACCATGAAATATAACACTGTACACATACAAACTTGTATTTGCATATAAAGTGCAGCCATGAAATCCAGATGGCACTAATGAAAGGATTAATAAACATTTGGTGAGCTTGTAAATCTAAGGAATTATGATTTGCAACCTGTGTGCTACAATCGCAATTTACATGCAAACATGAATAAGATCACGTCTCGCACAGAGACGGCAGGCCTTTATTAAGATCTCAGAAAGCACGTGATGTAAACGTCTCAGACAGCTTAAATGAAGAGCAAATAAAGCCATTACAGAAACATTCAGTGTATTTCCAGCAAACACATTCCCATGTCTGACACTTTGATGAATTGCTCCTCACTGTGATACATCTATCTTAAAATTGCATAAGCCTCTCGCAAAGTCCCTGCGTGCCACATCAAAACCATCTGCACACCCGCCTGTTTTTGCACGGAAAGAGAGAAATATATATATATATATCTATTGACCAAATGGAAGAATAATGAGTCCCCGGCGTGCTGCATGTGATTCCCAGATGAGATGAAAGCGAGACGCAGCCATTAATGGGCTTTCATCCCACAGCTCGCGGAGGTCTAGCAGGCAAATTGCAACAAACTTCTGGAAGAACAAACATGGTGGATCTCATGTAACCTGTCCAGAGCACGTCTGACTCATGTTTCAACCCATTATCAAAAGAAAAAAGCTTTCAAGGACATTGATATATCGTGCTTAAAGAAGATGAAATCTATATTAAAGGCTTTTTTTGCATTGTGACATATTTTTCACTTTTTTTTTACCTATTACTGTAATAAATAAATATTTAGTTATTAATATTGCATAAACCTTCCTATTTAATAAACCTAAATAGGTATTTTAATAAATATTTGGTTATTTTATTCATTTTTATAGATAGATAGATTGTAATCATTTTTATATAAAAAAAAATACATGTATTTTTTATATTTTTATTATTAAAGCTATAATAATGTATTAAATATAATTTATTAAATAATAATATATAAATATATTTGTTATTTAATATAACTTAATGTCTTGTATTTAATATATTTTATATTATATGAATATATTAATATATAAAACATGAATCCTAAAAAAATATATTTTTTTTTAATTCTGTAAAAAAAAAAAAATATTTGTAATGCTTCAGAGCTGGTTGGTTGGTTTGGTTCAAGGCTTAAAAGTCTTTATTGAGGAATACTTATTGAAGAATGCCTGTGGAGAAAATGAATGTAAAACATCCCTCAAGGCTGGTCATTAAAATGAAGACATAATGCAAGAAAAAATGTAATGGCCTTAAAACATCCTTTTCTTTATGCAAAGTTTACTTTCAAATGATCTTGTTGTGAGATGTGACCTACATGCTTTTGTGGCGTTCACCCACGTAGATCATGACAGCGAGCCGACAGGACCTGTGCTGTAAATGAATGAAGTGAGGGTGTTTTTTTTACAGAACACTCACTGATAGATGCCGAGCCAATTATTCCTGCAACGAACATCAGGAAACACTGATCCGATGCAGCGACAAATACACATCACTGAAGATAATCATTTACACAACACACAGAAAAGAGACTTTTATAGTGAAAAAAAAAACACTGACTGAAAC